GTAATTAAAGCTGCAAGCAGCATTGAAGGCCCTCGCAGCAAAGCGCCGATTCGACCATACGACGACTGCAGGATCTCCAGCTACTCCACCCAGTCGCCATCACGATCGCTCTCTTGCCAATCTCGCAAGCGTTCACCATGGGACGCATTTCCCGAATCTTCGACATCGCCTTCCGTCCATGTCAGTACTTGTTCAGCTGCAGGTCTTACCAGTATAGGCGAAATCCGACCTTCCAGACAGGAGTTATTGTGACTTTCTGTTTTGTGGTGAATGTTTCACGAGCGCTTCCTTTATGGTTTTCAACATGTCATGTGTTAATCAACAGTTAGCGAACAAAGTTTCAGTGTTATATCTTACACAGTGCGAAGCTGCAAGAGTCACCCAATAATGGACAGTTTCTTCTCTAAGTGAGTGGGGCTTAAGTGATGTCATGAATCCACAATACCAATGTGTCTAGAAGTGCTCACTAATGAAGCACAAAAAATCAGGTGCAGATCAGATGAGGTATCACTGAGATATAACTGTTGGAATCAAGGCCGGATTAACCATATGGGCAACTGCCCAGGGGCCCACGATCTCTAAAGGGCCCAGAGCAGTGACGGCAAAAGCAAAATATCTGGTCATCTCCTGGAGACCTGTGCTGCAGAGAGACACTACTGCACTGCTGCTGCATTTGGGCCACCCCACCTCCTCCCAGCACGGCTGCTACAGCTCTCCTTTTTTTTCTACCGAGTTGGATCTTCCACGGCGCGACCTGTCAATCAGTCCAGTAGGCATGTCAGCAACTGACTAATCGACGACCTCAATTTGTCCCAAAGGTAAACGCCCCTTACCTGCTGACAAGCCCATCAGGGTTTTTTTTCCTAGAATTTTATTAACACAAAACAGAACAATGCAACAATATACAAATACAAACTCGTGAAGACTGTCATAACTACATTTCACAAAATAATGAAAGAGAAAAAATAAACATAAAAAAATTAATAAATAAAAACAAAGGAGCGTGACATATGAAAAACTTGTTGTTTTAATTAAAACAATAAGTTTTTATATGTTGTGAGATGATTCTAGTAGTTTTGAAGTTTTTTAATCTACTTAATGAAGTATAGTGTGACTTCAAATCGTTCATAAAACAGGAAGGAGGGCTTATTATCCCTCCTCTTACTACAGTGAATGTGATACTTTGCTATACATGCAAGTATGACTATATTTATGGCATCAGAGAAAGCTGAGCTTGTTATCCACATAAAGTAATATGGCATCAGCATCAAAAGAAGGAATATTAAGTTTGAGATTAATCCAGTTTCTGATGTCTGACCAAAGACTTTGTATTAACATGAAAAAAAACCCCTCTACTGTGAGGTAGAAGGTACTCGAGTGGCTACACACAAATAAACTCTCTTGTCACCCTGGCACTACACACATGTCTCTAACCAAGACTAACTTCTGGTGGCCCACTCTCACATAAGATGTAAAGGAATTTGTCGCAGCTTGCTCTACCTCTGCCAGGAATAAAACAGGAAACCAACCCCCTGCCGGACTGTTACAACCTCTACCTATGCCCAGCCACCCATGGTCACACATACTAGTGGACTTTGTCATGGGCCTGCCTCCATTGGAAGGTAACACTACTATTATAACTGCCATTGACAGATTTTCAAAGGCAGCCCATTTCATTCTGCTACCCAAACTACTATATGCTCTGGAGACGGCACAACTCCTCGTCCAGCATGTGTTTAGGATCCATGGCATCCCCTCGGATGTGGTCTCGGACCGAGGCCCACAATTCATCTCTCACGTTTGACGCTGTTTTTGCAACACTTTAGGGGCGTCCACCAGTCTTACTTCTGGTTACCATCCCCAGTCTAATGGCCAGGTAGAGGGGTGTAATCTAAGCTAGAGACGACACCTAAGGTACATTGTGGAACGCAACCCATCGGCCTGGGATCAGCATTTGGTTTGGGTGGAATACGCCCATAACTCGCACAGGTCTACAGCCACAGGTATTGTCCCGTTTTTGCCCCTTCCTGACTTAGTTTTCTGTTTCCATGTGCAGTTTTGCTTATCACCCATTTTCAGTTCAATCCTGCTCCTTCCAAGCTAAGCCATGCCTCCCTTGTTTGTTACAGCAATCAGCACTCAGCAGCTTCACCTTCTCACCTGCCTTTATAAGCTTCATGCTTACACTCCACCAGTGCCAGATTATCAAACTCTTTTAGATAGTTGATGTCCAGCGATCTCTTCACAACCTTGTTCTTTTGACTTGTCTCGACCCCACGCCTGTTCCTCGGATTCTTCGCCTTGCCTGCTCCTTACTTATTTTGGATTCTGCTTTCTGACCACGGTACCAACTCTGCTTCCCATCTCCTCGACTAAGCCCTCCGGATCAAGATTTGGCTTTGGATTCTACTCTCTGACCAACTGTGCATGACCTCTGCATTCCCTACTGGACCTCATCCTTGGACTCTCCCTAGAAACAAATTCTACATCCACCTGCTTCTCTGCTGCTGCTCACTCACAATGAGTGAAATCATCATCTCCTACTCACCAAAGGAGTTCCTCTATCTACAGACTGTGAAGGTTAGTGACTACCTTAAGAACCTTCACAGTAAAACCCAGATCACTGACTCCTCTGTCTCGACATATCAGACCCACCTTTGGACCTGGACCTCCACCAGAATATGTTTATCAATAAACACTTTAAACTATTCTTGTAGTTTGGTGTTGTGTGCTAATCCAAAACCCAGATCGTGTCAGTATAATCTGGCCAAAATGGATTCAGCACAGACTCAGGAATGGTGCTCTGGTGTGGAGGGGACCATAATTAAGCTTGAGAATAATGCACAGGAAATGATGAAAATGTTGTGTAATCTCTCTCTCACCAACCCCTCTCACAGAGTTCCACTCAAGCTACTGTAGTTCAAACTACTACCATATGTCTTGCATCCTCATGTCATGAGGCTTGCCTCGTCCCTCCAGAACTGTTTAAAGGGGAACCTGATCAATGTTGACCTTTTTATAACTCAATGTGAGATTCACTTTCAGCTACAGCCATCATCCTTTCCTTCTGAATGATCCAGGGTGGCTTACATGATCTCCCTCCTTTCTGGCAAAGCCAAGTCATGGGGAACTGCTGAATGGCAAAGGGATTCCAGGTACTGTTATTCTGTTAATTAATTTTCTAAAGAACTGTGTAGAGTGTTTGATCCTGTATTACCAGAGAGAGAGGCTGCTCGAATAAACAAGGGAGTAGACATGTCATAGAATATATTATTGACTTTCATGCCATTTCGGCCAAGAGCCGATGGAATGAAGAAGCACTAACAGATGCTTTTTTCCAAGAACTAAATGATAACATCAAGGATGTCGTTTTGGTGCCACCTGGCTATGTAAACACAATCCCCGTATTAATTGGAGAGAGAAATAAATTGTAGGGTGGTCTGAGGAGTGTTTGTTGTCATGTCTTTTTGATGCTGTTTTGCCCTCTATCAGTTCCCATAACATTGAGGAGACATACCCAGACCTCTCAAAGGTTCCAATTGATTACCATGACCTCAAGGAGGTGTTTAATAAAGTCAAGGCCACTTTGTTACCTCCTCACAGACCCTACAATTGCTCTATTGATTTGGTTCCTGGTACCACACCCCCTCGAGGCAGTCTTTATTCACTCTCCGGGCCTGAAAATCAGGCAATGCAGAACTATATTAATGATTTTCTACAAGCAGGCATTATTAGACCTTCTGCGTCCCTTGCTGGGGCTGTTTTTTTCTTTATGGGGAAGAAGGATGGCTCCCTAAGACCATGTATAGATTACTGTGGACTGAACCAGATCACTATTAAAAATAAGTACCCATTACCTCTTATGACTTCCGCTTTCTACCTTATTCAAGGGGCTACCATTTTCACTAAACTTCACATAAGAAATGCGTACCACCTGGTTCACATCAGAGAAGGGGACGAATGGAAGACAGCTTTCAACACCCCCACCGAGTATTATGAATATCTTGTCATGCCATTTGGATTTACTAATACTCCCGCTTTTTTCTAGGCCTTGATTAACGACGTGCTGAGAGGCATGGTTAACCAATTTGTTTTCATATATCTAGATGACATACTCATTTTCTCCGAGGACATCAACGCTCACAGAAGACATGCCAGATCTGTCCTGTTAAGACTATTGCAAAACAACTTATTTGTAAAAGCTGAAAAATGTGAATTCCATCAACCCTCCACTTCTTTTTTGGGTTTTGTCATCTCACCTAATAAAATAACTATGGATATAAACAAAGTCTCTGCAGTACTGGACTGGCCTACACCTAAAGACAGGAAGCAACTGCAGATGTTCTTAGGCTTTGCCAA